AAGTGAGCATTTTATACCTGTGTGCGGGTACCACTTTTCTTAGTCCACTTTATTCTTATTAATTGACTAAAAAGAAAAAGGCAAATATACTGATTATTTTTACTTTAAAATGCATCAACCTAGGGCTAGAGCAATAGCTCAGTGGTCTACATGCCTGCCTGGCAAAGTGCAGGGTTCCAAGTTTGGTCCTCAGTACTGCATGCCGTGCTTGCCCCAAAACCGGGGGTTGTGGTGCACCCCTGTAATGCCAGCCCTGGGAAGGTTGAGACAGGAGAATCACTATGAGTTCAAACTATGTAGTGAGATCCTGCATCTAAAATTTAAAATAAATAAAAATAAAATAAAATGCATCCGCCTGGATTGCTTTATATATTTGTGTGTGAAATGTAATATGATCTATGGAGGGAGTTAGTTCATAATTAAAATATACCAATTTAGAAATCATATGTGATTAGTTTGGTGTTGTTGAAAGACTTTAATCAGCAGTCCACAACCTGAGGGAGGTTTGGCAAGTGCTTCAGGTATCTTTACCTACACCCATTCTATGGTGTTTATCTATTAGCGCCAAGTAGGTTTTCTCTAGTAGAGCACTGCTGTCATATTAGACATAATTCCTAACTGTGAGAGTAAACAAGGCTGGCCAGGTATTCTGTGATGTTCAGCATCACACCTGATTTCAATATACTGGTTGTCACTGGTTCAGTCCTCTAGTTATGACAAGCAAAATGGCTCTAGAAATTGCCAAATGTCTCTAGAGGGGAGAAGTGAACAAAAAGTGCCAGTTGAGAACCGCTGGGCACACAGAATGAAAAATAAATATGAAAAATAGGAGACTAGGATTATATTATACCACTAGCAAATTACCCCTTTTACCTATGAGACTTGGGCTACATTTGCAGAACTGTTTATTCATTGCATGAATAAGAAAGCCTAAAAATAGAGTTAGGAGTTCCATAAGCTTCTAAAGCAAGATTTGATAGGACTCAGTTGTTATATGACAAAATAAGATGTATTTCTATCTTATTTTATTTTAGTTTTTGTACCATGAGTTGAATTCAAGACCTGGCACTTGCCAGGCAGTCGCTTGTGCTACTAGGCTATATCCTCAGCCACTTTTCTTGATTTTCACTGATACAATACATTATTAAATCTCTTTTCAAACAAGAGGATCCTGAGGGACAATACTTTTAAGAAAACTACTTGAAAACTATTTTAAATATTCACAAGAAAAAATAACTTACGCTGATTATTTTGTTTAAATTATTTCTACTTGAATGCATTGTTTTCAAAGGTATCTTTCCCTAGTTAAATCTCTCTCAGGTACTACAGCAATATTTTTAAGTACAAAGATTTTAATCCCCTTTCTGAAAACCTCATACAAAGAGTGGTTGTCTAAAAGCTTCCAATGAAATATGAACCTCTAAGGATGACAAATAATATGATTAGATTATATTTTAAAATCATTTTGACATCTTCATATTTTTAGTTTATTACCCCCAATATGCTTTTTTGCTATGGCAGAAAATAGTAATCTTATAATAGTTCTGTTTTCCTTTAAATGAGGAAAAAGAAATCATTGAAACTAGCTCTCTATAGCTATTATACTTTAGAATTGGAAAGCAGAAACATAGAAAAAGGAAAAGTTGGTGTATATTTAGAGTTTATTTTTTAGGAAAGATCGTGCATGTAAGAATATAATTTGATACTGGTACTTGGAAGCAAAACTATATCTAACAGGACTCCTACATTGGAGAAATAGACCAGAAGCTCAACTCATGAGCCCCACTTTGTTCTAGCATTCTTTATTTTTAGGGTCCTTAAAATATAAAATGCAAACATCCTACATTAAAACTTAATCCTGGCCAGGGAGACAACTTGTTGGTCTAAGCGCCTGCCTGGGAAGTGCAACGACCAGACTTCATTCCCTGGTATCACATGCTGTGTCGGTCCCGTGCTGAGCCAGCCACCAAACCAGGCATGGTGATGCACGCCTATACTCCCAGTGCTGGAGAGGCTGAGACAGGAGGATCACTCCAAGTGTGAACTGCATGGCAAAACCATTTACTAAATAAACAAATAAACACATGATAAAAAATACTTAATCCAGAAATTAGTATAAGTAAGAAAATCTTGGAGCTAGTGACCCAGAAAGAAACTTGATAGCTTCTCCAGGTAATTATTATTTTGGGTTCTCTCTAGTTCTAGAACAAAACTTGCAACAACTCTCTATCCCTGGGCTATAGTATTTCCCTTTACCTTATACAGTGTTACAACCTCCAAATAGTTTCTATATTTCTTTTCATCTTACACCCACCTCTTCCCCAAACCTGTTTTCCAAATGTCTCCCTCTCAACTGCTCTGCAGTTGAATAAGTAGGATGGTTGAAACCACAGCCACAGTTGAGATCACTCAGGGACTTAGGCAAGAGAAGAAAGGCTCCTTATGAAGAATTATCTTCCCTGTGCCTATGGGAAAGTAGATAATGTCCCAAGTGCCTAATTAGGGAACAACTGAGCCTATTCCTCTTTCTTGTTTCTATTTTTAATGTTTATATTCCTTGTTGAAAAGTGGTACATATACATAATATATATTAATTCCTTTTGAAATCTCCCTCTCACTTCCTTCCCTCCTAGCTCCACCTATATTTGTTCCTTTTCTTTCCTTTCCCTTTGCTTTCATTTCTATTATTGTTATATATGTTTGCAATGCATAATGTTTGCATTCTTTGTGTGGAGTTGGGGCATGCATGTAACATAGCTTGATTCTTTTCTTTCATCCACTTTTTCTTTTTTCCCTCCCCATTCTGTCCATCTCTTGATACTTTTATGCTTTAAGAAAGATCTGTCAGGCCAGCCAGATAGGCCAGAAAGATAACTCAGCGGTTAAAGCATTTGCTTAGGCAGAAGCAGGGACCAGGGTTTGATTCCCAGAGTGCTGTTCTGGCCCCGCCCCTGGGGCTCAATGAGATTGTGATTGAGATTGGTCGTGGTAATGCATGCCTGTAATCCCAGTGCTTGGGAGGATGAAAGAAGGAGAAGCACTGAGTCCAATCTGTGTAGTGAAACCCTGTAGACCCTGTACTAAATACAAAAAAAAATTCTGTGTACTTATTATCTATGTTTTATTTTGCTTTCAATACTTTGCCATATAAAAGAAATAATTCAACATTAAGCTAGTGTGTCTGATTCATGTCACATAACATGGCAATCTTAAAGTGCATTCATTTTCTTATGTTCAACTCAAGCTTATCTTTCTTTATGGTACATTTATTAATATTTCTTGCTTGCTTGCTTGCTTGCTTGTTTTCTTTGAGACAGGGTCTCACTGTGCAGTTTAGGCTGCTCTTGAGTTCACTGTGTGGTCCAGACTGACCTTGAACTGACAGTTCTCCTACCTCAGCCTCCCAAGTGCTGAGATTACAGTTATGCCACATTTTTCTTTGACCACTTATCTGTTGACAAATATATAGGCCATTTCTAAGATTTGGCTATTATGAGTTGTGCAACTTCAAACATAGGGAACTATGAATCATTATTATATGATGCCTTTAATTTTTTTTTGGCTAAGATACATAGAAAGAAAATAGCTGGGACAAATAGAATTATAGTTCAGTTTCCTGAAAAATCTCCATACTGATCTCCACAAGAATTGAACTGGTTTATCTTCCCACCAACTGTAGAAGATATTTCTTTTTCCTGTCCACACTCTCCAGTAATTGCTATTATTTGATTTCTTAATGATGACCATTATTCTGGGGTAATATGCCAGCTCCATGTTGTTTTAATTTGCATTTTATTTTTATCTTGCTACTGAATTTCCTCATAAATTCTTAGAATCTTTTGATAGGTTTTTGTGTGTCTTCTATGTAAAAGATCATGTCATCTGTAATGTTGAACATTTCTTCATATGTTTACTGCCTATTTGTAGTTTTGTCATCTTTCTACTCATTTCACTTGTCCATTTTTTTCAATTTGGGTGTCTTATTTTGAGAGCCTAAATTTTTTGAATTCTGTATGTAGAATAGCTATGAGTTCTCTTTTTCATTTTTTAAAATGTATTTGGTATAAGGTCTCACTAAACATCTCAGACTCATAGTGATCCTCCTGTTTTCATGCTCCTGAGTGCTGGGATTACAGATGTGCACCACCGCGTCTGGACTTGTTCACTGGCTCAGCGTGTCTGACTTCGGGCCGGTACAACCTGTGATGCCAGGGAGAATTGCATTAAATCTTTATGTCAATTTTGGAAGTCATTTTGATGATATTGCTTCTGTCTATACAGAAATAAGACATTTTTTTGATTTTCTGATATGTTCTTCAACTTCCTTTTTTTTTTTTTTAGAGTGTTGTAGGTTTCATTAGAGAGGTTTTTCATTTCCTTAGTTAATTTCCTTAGGTTATTTGCTATGTGTCTAATATTTCTTGAGGTTATTGTAAATTTTTCCCTTGACATTTCTTTCATCTGATTCATTATTGATATTCAGAAATGCCATTGATTTTTTGTGATTTTTGTCATGTTAATGAATTGATTCTCAGAGTCTTTTGATCAATTGTTGTGTCTCCTATATAAAGGATCACGTCATCATCGAACAATGGTAACTGACTTCTTCCTTTCCTCTACATATTTGTTTTATATTTTTTCCTTACCTGATTGCTCTTTTTAATGTTTCAAGGAGTATGTTAAAAAGACAAGGTGATATAGGACATCCTCTGTCTTGTTCCTGATTTTTGAAGGAAAGTGTTTGGTTTTTCACACTTAATGTTATTGGCCATAGATTTGTCACAAATGGCTTTCATCAGGTTGTGATGAGGTCTTTCCATACCAACAATATTCAGTGTTTTTTAATCATTAAAGGATATTGGATTTTGTAAAAATATATTTCTGCATCTATAGAAATGATAAACTCTTTTTAAATTATTTAAGTGTGATATATTGTATTTGCATATGTTAAACTATCTTTGTATCCTTAGGTAAGGATGCATGATCTTTTTTTTTTTCTACATCAGATGGATAATGTGTCCACCTCATAACATGGTTTGTGGGAGGCACATCTCATGCATAAGGTATGGACACAGAATCATCACACTCATGAACAATGGTACATGATCCTTTGGATGATTTGTTGCATTTTCTTTACTAGTATTGTGTTGAGGATTTTTGTATCTACATTTATCAAAGAGATGGGTTTACAGCTCTCCTTTTGAGTTAAATCATTATTTTGTTTTTGAATAATGGTAATGGTAGCTTCCAGGAAAGTCTTTGTACATACCCCTTCCCTTTTAATTTCATTAAAAACCTTGAGGAGTATTGGAGAAGTTTTTATAGAACTCAGCAGTGAACCCATATAGGTTCATACGGGCTTCTTTTAGTTGGTAGGTTGATCATTGCTACTTCAGTTTCATTGCTAATTATTGGATTATTTACAGTTTTTAAATCTTGTTTCAGTTTTGATAATTATACATATCTGGGAATCTATCCATTTCTTCTGTATTCTCTAATTTATTGGCCTACAGGTTTACAAACTAGCTTTTAATAATCTTTTTTTATTTCAGCATCTGTTGTAATTTCACCTTTTTCATTTATAATTGCATTGGTTTGGGTCTTTTCTCCCCTTTTGTGATTAGATTGTCTAAGGTTTTTTTTTTCAATGATTATTATTTCAGAGAACCAATGCTTAGATTGATCATTCTTTCTATTGTTTTGTTCTCAATGTTATTGATTTCTCCTCTGATTATATAATTTCCCTCCTTGTACTAGTGTTGTGTTTAGATTCTTATTCTTTTCGTAGGGCCTTGAGGTACATGATTAATTTTTTTATTGGGCCTCCCTCTGATTTGTGATATAGGCAGTTATAGCTACAAACTTTCCTCTTAGAACTCCTTTCACTGTGTCTCCTAAATTCTGATATGTACTGGCATATCACTTAGTATAATTGTACTGGCATTTACACTTAGCTGTAGAGGGCTGCGGAGATATCTCAGTGGTCTAAGCACCCGTGCTGCAAGCACAAGGACCTGGGTTTGATCTCTGGTACCACATACTGTGCTGTCCTCAGAACCCTGGGCACACTGTGCTGGTCACCAAAACTGGGTGTGGTGGTTCATGCCTGTAATCCCAGCACTGGGGAGGCTAAGACAGAATGATTGCTACAAGAACATGCTGTGTAGCAAGACCTTGTATCAAATACACACACACATACAAACATAAGTAAAAGACTTTTTGAAAAAAAAAAATAGGCTGGTGAGATAGCTCAGTAGAATAAGTGCCTGCCTGGCAAGCACATGGCCCTGAGTTCAATCCCCAGTACCGGAAAAAAAAAAAAAAAAATGTTTCTGATAGATAAGTGCCTGTGTGATTTCTCTAAAACCTAAAGCAACTCTTAAGTTAAAGAAGTGCACATTGGGGAATATGTAAATATTTTGGGGGGGCTGAGGAGATAGCTCAGTAGAATATATGCTTGCCTGTCAAACACAAGTGCCTGAGTTTAATTCCCGTTTCCAAAAAAGAAGAAGAAGAAGAAGAAGAAGAAGAGGAAGAAGAAGAGAAAAAAAAGTAGTATAAACAGATTTATTGCTTCCCTGATTTCTTTTGGAACTCACTATTAATTTAAGTGTACATTGTTTAATATATACATATATATCATATATATATCACAAAGTAATATATAAAGGATATGCACTTAGGTTGAACACTTTTCTATATGTACATATTTCATTTTTTCTTCTTTCTTCTTCATTTTTTTTCATTTTAATTGGAGTTCTTAATACATACAAAATAAAAATTGTAAGTGAAAATTGTTCCAAATATGATTTACTGTGCACTTCATCTCTCTTTATTGCTTAATTTGGTGATAGGGAAAAATAATATAGTTGAGTAATCAGTTGCTTCTCTTATTGTTTATATGAACTGTTTAAATTGCATTCTTGGGGCTGGGATCATGGCTCAGTAGAGTAAGTGATTTCCTGGCAAGTGCAAGGGTCTGAGTTTAATTCCTGGTTCCACCAAAAAAAAAGAAAATAATAAAATAAAAATGGATAAATAAATTGCATTCTTATTTTAACTAAGAAAAATATCCTAAATTTTAGTCCAAGTATTCAAATTGGGTTTTTATATGAAACCATTATTAGTAGTTAATTTGGAGAGTATGTAATGAGGTCTGAACTTTTATTCAGTTTATTTTATTTTAATATATTCTATATATTAAATACTACTGTCATTTCTTACAGGCCTACTTGTAGGAACATGTGAGTCTGCCTCAGCCTCCGAGCGTCCTGGGATTATAAACCTTTGACAGTGTGTCTCATTTACAAATTGAGTTTGGAAAATTATCATAAAAGCAAGTAATATAAAATTTAACATATTGCCTTTTTGTGTGTGTTACTGGCAAAGGAACCCAAAGCCTTTGAATTGAGTTACAATTCCTAGCTGTCCCTTAAGTCACTGATTTTCCAGGAAGGGTTCAAGCTTGTAATGCATCTTCCTTGGCCTTCCAGAGTGCTAGGATTACAGTTGTAGGCTACCACCCACAGTCTACCATGATAATGCTTATTTATTTATTTATTTATTTATTTATCTACCTATCTATCTATAATTTGTCAGAGTCTTGTTTTGTACCCAAGGCTGGTCTCCTCCCATGATAATCCTTCTGCCTCAGCTCCTCAGGTCCTGTGATTAGAGGCAATTATAACCATGTCTGGTTACCATGACAACAATTCTGATTATTTAAATTATTTATTTGCTACAGGGTATTGCCATGTAGCTCACTACTCCTGTGGTGATCCTTCTGTCTCAGCCTCCCCAGCACTGGGATGACAGACTTGCACCAACACATCCAGTTTCCGTGGCCAGCATGACATACCCAGGGCTCTGGGGTTGGCATGGCATGGGTACCAGAGATCGAATGTGGTCCTTGTGTTTTTCAGGCAGATGCTTAGACCACCAAACTATCTCCCCAGCCCCATGGCAACAATTTTGAGTTATGCAATTATTTTAGAAGATAATTGAGATGCATATTTTATGACTTAAAATACATAATATACTTATTTTATATAATAATATATATTTTGTAGAGTTAATGGAAATAATTTTTTAAAAATGATGAAAACGCAGGGAGTGCTTACTGATGTATATTCAAAACAACTTGATCCAGTCTTTAGTCTGTTTTGAACTCCTCATTTGTCCTGAATACCAGGGCCCAGCTTTACATTCCTGTCTAACAAACAAAGCTTTGTAGCTACAGAATAGTTTTTGAGACCTCACCCAGGGGAATATCTAATTGCTATATGACACTTCTCCCTTAATTTGTTCCTTAGAGAGGAGAATGAGATGAGTCATTTTTCTTAGATACTGCATCATCTAAAGAGAGTTTCCAGGAAAGACTATTTCCATTCTGCATAATCCCTGAGGAGATGTCAGAGACATCTATATAGTTAGCATCAGCAAACTAAAAGGGACAGGTGACAGAAGAGGTGCTGAGGAGCACTTGGTGGTCTCACCAGGGTGAGTGTGACAGACAGTTGTTGACAGGGCAGCAACCTCTGCCTGTGCTGTGTCTGCCCATACTTTCTTTAGGGCCTTAAATCTTCAGAACACTGCTGTTGTTCTACAGGACACAACTCTATATTTTAAGAATTTCAGTGCATGAGAAAAGATCTAGAATAATGAGGTCAGGTGTGGTGGTACACACCTATAACTGCAGCATTATGGAAACCTGAGGCAGGAGAATCATGAGTTTGACCTCAGCCTGGAAAACTTGGCAATTTAACAATACCCAGCCTCTGAATAAAAAAATAAATTAACAAATACTGGAAATGGAATGTAACTCAGTCTAAAAACCCTAGGTTCAAACTCCAATCTTGAAAGTAAATTGAAAAATGAGAAAGAAAATTTGGAAGGATGTTGTTAGAAAATTATATTGGACTGACAAGATAGCTCAGCAGACTAAGCACCTGCTCTGGCAAGCACAGGGGCTAGGTTCAATCCCAGGTCCCACATGCCACGATAGCCCAGCCCCCAGGAAGTGCTGAGCCAGCAGCTAAGTCCAGACATGATGGCACACCTGTAATTCCAGTGCTAGGGAGGCTGAAAACAGGAGGATCACTAGAAGTCCCAGCTGTGTAGTGAGACCCTGTACCAAATACATATAATGAAAAAAAAAATATATATATACATATATATCACATAAAGGTACTAATATATAAACACTAAAATTCTGCCAAGGCTCAAAAAATATGAGCTCCTGCAGAGCCACAGGACAGCATTTCCTGTGGAAAGTATTACTATATTTCTTTCCATAGTTAAAAAATCAAAGTCCTATCTTTTCAGTATACAAGCTATCTGTATAGGCTGAGCTCCTTTTGCACTGCCATAACTGTCTTACATTTTAGAACTAATGTATGTTCTCTGTGAGTTAAAAGAACAAGAATAATATTTACTCACCTTGAAACTATAGCCAGCAATAGCACAAACTCAGGATCACTCACCACCTTAGAGTTAGATAAATGGATCTGTGAGTGATTAACAGTGATGCTACCTTAGTAAGAAGGAGTGCCTCCTGCTTGGGGCAATGTGGGAGTCACTTTACTAAGCTTTCATGAGCTTCTTAGCACTGAATTTTCTTTGCTATTGCTATATCCCTGTTGTTTCCTGTACTGTGTACTCCATAATGACTATTCATTGCTATTGGTCAGTCTCTCTTGCTTTAAGCTGAAAAAAATAGGCACAGACAGGACAGGGAAGTAAATTTGTAGTCAGAGACACCTCCAGCCTCTCATATCTTCACTCTTGGAGGCTCTCCTTTCTGCTAATTGCTGCTCTTTAGTCCATTTCAAAGCCAGTCCCTTCTATCTTTCTCAAACCCCAAGGAACAGTGCCCAAGAAACAGTGTCAAAATCATCTTACATACTGGTGAAATAATATTCTTAATTGTCAGTGTTTTAGTTATTTTTATCACTGCTGAGAAAAAATGTACAACAGCCACAAGTCAAGGTAAGAGAGGTTTATTGAGTTCACGTTGTAATTTTCCGTCCATCATCAGCTGGCTCCAAGGCATGGTGGCGTGCCAGACAGACACTGCTAAGGAGAAGCAGTTCATGGTGTGC